GAAAAGCATATATTTGGGGGGAGGGAAGTGTTGTTGAAAAGGTTAAGTTTTGACAAAACTGCTGCTTTTTTCAAGTATAAGTTTTGGGGGCCTGAAGACAGGTTAAGGGATGTTCAAACATGTTTGGAGAAAATGTACTTCTGTTCAATTTCTGGACTGCAAACTTGACATTTGCAAGGGATTTGCAAAAGGAAACACAATCTTCATGCAACCCTAACATAGGAGCAGACTCACTTGAGCAAACCGCAACGGAATCAAATCCCGCTGGACCCTATCCAGCACTCTCATCTGCCAGTGCAGATAACGGTGGGCGAGCGGATACCAAGTTCCAAGTATGTTCTGGGGGGGATCCAGAAAGGGTTCTGCTTGCAAGTCCCGCAACTCCTTGCAGATTACAGTGGTCCATTAGCACTTGTGCGATGGGAAGCGGCAATGGAGCCCACTAGCACAGCGATTTCTCATGCCAACAGCATGTTGCATTTCGGGGGCTGATTTAATAGGCTCTGCTTGCCCATCAGTATGACTGTGTTTGGAGCCAGCCTGGTGTTGCTGATGTAATTGCTGACTGACAGCCACAAGCAAGAGTAAAGGTTGCAGAATGACACTACGCGAAGGGCACACTCGGGGTTTCTAAAATACTATTTATGAGATGTGTAAAAGGACCAGCCAGAAGAAGCCAGCCTTAATTGAATATTTAATGGCATGTGGAATGTCACTGAGGCTCACGATAAAGAGTAAAAGTAGCTATGATCCCAGGACTCTTTTGACTCCAGAGAAGATCCAGCAGGACCCCCGTGTCTGTAGGGACACGCTCCAAAACCCCCAGCGGATGCCTGAAAACATGGATAATAGTGAACACTGTATGTCCTATCTTTTCTGTATATGCATTTCTTTTTTCACTGTTTCATGGACAAAAGATTTATTCTTCCCATATATCCTGGCAACCTCAATTTTTGTTCTTTCCCTATTAAACTGGGAATTTTCACTTAGAGGAAGCGCTTTACGACCGCTCTTTGGCACTTCACAACTTCTCTTTCCGACTGTGGTCAACAGCGGTTAAATGAAAATGTGGTAACTGAGCCAGCATCCCTGCTGCATTGCAAGAACATTTGTTTACCGTGTCCAAACAAACTAAAGAACTTTAAAACACATATGGCAGCAAAAGCAAACATAATCTTGAAGCTGTATGTACGTTTAAAATTTAATTATTGGAAAGGGGGTTTTAAAAGGGGGGATATTGTGCATATAAATCAAAACAGGTATTTCTAAAATTGCATTTCAAATATTGAAAATATTAGTTTTATTTGACCTGTATCTTACACTTATAACCAATTCAAAGTTATTTTTAACCCAGTGAAGTAACTAGAAAAGCAACCAGCTTTCAAATTCTGTTAATTTATTGAGTGTTATCCATTTTGCATCCTGTATTATTGTTCCATCTTTCCTAGATGATGGATAGTTTAGTATGAAATATGAAAACAGTGGTACTAGATTGATCTTATGGATGCTAGACAGTGGCACGGTGAGGTATCTTTGCTGGGTCTACACATTCCATCTTCTGCATATAAATTTGGGCCTGAAAGACCCCGGAAATACCTGAGTGCAAGGAGAATAATTTGCAAGCAAGAACAGTTTACAGGTGTACAACATTCCTACATATTGCAGGGTACCTCTGTTAGCTTCTGATTTCCAGGCTTTGTGGGGTCTGGCGCAAGCAAAGAGAGCCTTAGCTATGGTCCTACTGTATCAGAGCACTGGCTAAACTTACTGTCAGTGAAAAGGCCATCCCCATCCCCATCCCCTGATCTCGCAGGAACATTTGTCCAGGGCAGAACCTTCCATCACACCTAAAGCAAACAAGTTCATATGGGTGAAGGCTGCCACCTCACACCACCAGCTCCAAGGCAAAGAGGGCCTGCTCCAGTAACTTCCTGCACTTTTCTCTACGTTCAAAAACTAAATGACAGCCTAAGCAGTTCGTGAAATATCAGAATCACATATTCCCTCAGGCTAAAGATGGGCATCATCTTGATGGCTGCACACTGGCCTACTTGAGGTTTCCAAAACACTGTTCAAGGTAGGCCCATGTAGAACTTGCCAAGGTTTTATGTGAGAAAGAGGGATGGGATGGGTGGGGATTGCCATCAATCCAAAGGATATTGGCGAAGAGTATCCCTGCCTATCACAATTACCACTCAATCACCAGATACCAAGTTTTGTCTCCACGCATGAAACATAAGATATTGACCTCCTCTCAGCTCAATCAGATCTTCCTTCCTGTCTTTTTATTTATTAATTTATTAGAATCCATTTTATCGTTCCTTTCAGACAGAAACGCAGGAGCAGTACTACCAGTATCTTAAACAGTTGGGACAGAAATCCAATATAATTCATAGATTGCCCAATGAATATCTGCTCCACGGTGGTTTGATCTGTCTTCTAAAGGGAAAGGGATAGATAGATGGCATTATTCAGTAGCCACCATCACTTCCATCTTATCTGTATTGAGCTTCAGTTTATGTTCTTTCATCCAGCCCATTACTGACTCCAAACCCCTGGCAATTTGCCTGCAGTCAAGCTAAATAATTCACACAATGGGGCTGATTCATGCACCATGTTTGGTACACCAGTTTGGTTTGTAAGGGTTTTTTTTCAAGTGTAATGGTTTGCATTAAAATGAATTTCTTCCCTTGGAACACACACACACAAATGCAGAAATCAAGGCTATAAATTCCTGCTTTGTTTTGCAATTAACACCCATATATGGGAAATAAAGCAGAAAATTTACAGCTTCGATCCATCTGTGTTAATGTATATGACTCCAACTTCTCTTTTATTTACCTTCCTTTCTCCAGCATTCCTTGGCCCTAACTAAACCTTTCCAAGCAACTGCTTGAATGAAAGGAAATAGTTTATTACGGATTGTACTCTTGCTGTTTAAACAACTCTGGTGTATTAGGGCCCCATTACAGAATTCACACCTCCAGATTAATGCACGATGCATGACGGTGAGCCAGTATTGTAGCCACCTTGCCTATTTTGGGGAGCAGAAACAGTCAAGTTGAAAGCCTGACTGAGGCTGCAGCTCAAATTCATGCACATGCATGGTTGCTGTCCAAAACAGCCAGGTCCCATCTCTCCTCTGCCTAGCAATTAAGGAGGACTGGGGGATTCATTTTTTGTGAATTCTGCTGCATACTGACCTGGCCTACATCATTTTAGCTATTGTGTGAATTAGAATTTACCCTCTCATATTTATGCTTCTCAAATTCAGTTCAGATGATGATGATATAATAGAAATGAAAATGATCTTGAACTGTATTGTTTGAAAGAAAGTACATTTAGAATGAAAGTATGTGATGAAACATGTTTCAGATATGCATTTAACTGCAAAGCAAGAGTCAGTGGTCATTTAGCTATGTGGGTGGAGGGTTATTTTCAAGCTATTTCACAATACAGTGTTACATTCTTTTTGGGTTTAATATGTGATAGGAATTATTGCTATCTAGTCCATGGTTAGGCACATGCCTTCTTTAATGGACTGAACCTGGCACATAGAGAGGTCCATCATTAAAAGAGTTAGGTTGCACATGAAAATACAATCTTGGCCCCCTATAATCAGGATGGAGGTGCCTCATTTGTTGTTTGTTTTATTTCTATACCACCCAACAGCTTAAGCTCTCTGTGTAGTTTACAACAGTTTCTCAAAGCACAAAAAAGATTCAATAAAAATACAGATACAATAAACCATGAAATTCTAGTATACACATTTAAAATAGTTTAATATTCCAATATACAAAAATGAAAACCCGTTTAAACTTCTAAAACTATTTCTGTAAAACTAAGTCTAATTGAAACAGCTGCGATAACCCATTACATGACATCAAATCTTGCTCTGCAGTGTTTAGCAAGGTATAAGGAAACTATCAGCCCAGTAATGTGATTATATGGGCATGAATGCAAAAAAAGGTGTTACATAAACGATGGTGGGGTTGTAGTGCTATGAGAACCAACCCAGTATCTGGACCTTCTGTGATAGGAAAAGCTTGATCTGGAAGCGCTCCAGTCTCATGGGACCACTGAGTGGGGTTTCCCTGCTCAGTTCTCAAGAAACTTGCTTTCTTTCACGCTGAATACTGATTAGGAGTTGGTAGAAAGGGAAGAGCTAAGAAAGAAGATAGTGAGCTGAGTTGGAAACTCCTACTGGCAGGAGTATCTCCATCCTTAGAGCCCTCAACAATTGAAGAACGGAGAAATGGATTGGTGGAGCCTGCTGCTTAGAAGATTGTTAGAGGAAAGTGCACCATGGTAAGTAGATCTGAGGTGTTCAAAAAGATAGCGAATGCTGAGGAGGATCTGAAGTGATTGGAGGATCTGTTGTTGTATAGATTAAAGATTTTTTTTTTTTGTATTACATTTTTATGGAGTGTTGCAGGATAGGCTTTGAGGGCTGATTGTACTGGTTAGATCTGTATCAAATTCCCTTGGCAATCTTGTCTATTTCAGTTTGTTCTGTTTATTATAGTCGTTTTGCTTTCATTTTTTTTTTTAAAGAAGTATCTCCTTCCTTACGGAGATCCATTCAGACCATGGCCCAGAAAAAAGAGTGGTGCCCAGGGATACAGAACAAATTGCCCATCCCTGTTTGAGCCAAACGTGACAGATGCTCAGCTGGTCTTCTTAAAATGCACACACGTAAAAGGGATTCATAGCCTCTTTGGCAAACATATTCCACCTATGGATTTTGTGTGCACATACACATATGTATATTCCCTAGACACCTTCCATTCCCAAGCACTCCACAAAACACCTCTTGACCTTGACACATCTTCCATACTGTTTGAAGTATGGACAGGTCTGGTGTGGTCAGTGCATACATTTCACTAGCTTGAAGACAGTTTAAAATACCAGGAAAACACTAAAATGTGCAAATAAATTGATTGATAATATGTTTATATCAACCGATAACTACACAAGAGAAAAAAGAAACCTCTCCTTACCTGTTTTAGTATTGATGATGAAAAAGTTCTGAGGATTTCCACTGGTAATCCTATAGGTCATCCTTTCATTAGTGGTAGAATCAGGATCCTGAGCCTGTATCTGAATAACGGATACATCCTTGGGAGAGTTTTCCAAAACAGATGGGTAATAGATGGGTTCAGAAGTCAATGGGGCATTGTCATTCACATCTTCAACTTCAACATAGACCTCAATGGTGGTGTAGAGTGGAACGACACCATGATCTGTTGCATACACGGTGAGCCAGTAGGACTGGGTCGTCTCTCGATCTAGGATATCTGCTGTATATATAACTCCTGCAAAAAGAAGAGTAGGGACATTCAGGTTTACTGAAAATAGCAACAAGGAGAAATTTAAAGCACAAAGTTGCCCATTAGGCATCTGTTCCAAAGCATTTTGAAGTCATTGTGTGAAAAGAGATGCTGGAATCCAGACACTGGGCTCGTTATCATGAACGGACATGTGAACATCAGCATTCCTTACTGCAACGGCTCTTGACTGTGGGCATCCAGGCTGGTCTGATGTCCTGCCATTCCAGCGCTCTCTTGGAGCAGTGCCGACTCTCCTAGCATCCCAGATTAGTGGCATCTTCCTACTTTCATGCACATACTATGCACAGGCCATCAGTGTGCAATTCTTATACTTTTAGGACAATCAGCAGCGCACTAAATTTACTCAGATGTTCTCATTGTGCATTTGACGGAAGCCATAGAAGCTCCGTCTCTCCCCTGACACACATTCATTCATTCATTCATAGCATTTTTATACGGCCCAAAAGCTAAAGCTGTCTTGGTGGGTTAAAGAAATCAAAACTCTAAAATTGCAATAATATAAAAACACAGTAGATAATTACATATAAAGTTATAAAGGATTTTAAACAATTAGCAGTAGAAATCCTAGGATTCATTAAAAACCTTATCATATGCAGTCAAATGCCTCGGAATAAAGGTAGGTCTTAACTAGCCATTTAAACGTTTTCTTTCATCTGTTCCATTGGTGTTTTTCTCCAACTTCAGAAAAGTACACATAAAGTCCACCACAATATACATAAATTTTGGTGTCACAGAATATTTTGTGTATTTTTCTTAGTTCAACATAACAGTCAATGAGCAAAACATATAAAGAAGAATACTACACAGAGACTGAAGGGGTATATATTTACAAAAACTGATGAAAATACACACATATTTCCAATAACTTTTGCATCACCATGAAGGGCAAAGATCAAGCACACAGATGATCCACCAAGCTTTGCCAACCAGCTTGGACACTTCCTTGGGCTTCAACAACTGAAATCATACACTGAAACTAGTCCAGGTGGTGCTTCATTTTCCACTAGTGGAACTGGATTAATTGTGGTGTCCAATTTACGATAAATCTGAACTACTTTATCTTCAAAATGCCGTGCAGAACTTCTTGCAGTGAGAGTTCTCTCTCTGGCCCATATTGCAGCAAGCCACAAGGAACTCGAAAAAGCTCTGCTGGATGACACTGGGAGATGCAGAAGGTGGTGGGAAAGATTTCCCTCTCTGCCAACTTCATTGCATCAGAGTAGGCTCAGTAATGAGCTCTAAGCAGTGTTTGGTCAGACTCAGCACAAGCTTTCCTCTGTTTACATTCTAGCCATCTTCCTTATTGCTTCACTGCCCTCAGCTTAGGTGTATACCAAGAAACTGGCTGGGCTCTTCTCTGAAGAAGGTTCTTGGCTGCGATCATGTCTACTGCATGGGTCTTCTCTGCATTTCTCAGTGTGAGCAGTCACACCAGCAAGAAAATACCCCAGAGCCTTTAGAATCTATTGTGATCCATCAGCCTCTGTGGGTGGATCATTTTAATAGGTCCCATGCCTTTACAGAAGGGAAGTCTACTGAGAATCTCAACCTCACTAGGAAGTGTTCCAACCTTGACAATATTACTTCCTCCATATTCAGATCTGCCCAGTTGAAAAACTGAAATCAAGAATGTGTTCTCTCATATCTGTGAGGGGCAATGTTGAGACAGCCCCATGGCTATCATGGAGGTCATGAAGTTCTGGGCTACCCCAGGTTCAGCAGCCTTGGCATGGAAGTTGAGATCCCCCAGAATCACCAAACCCAAGGCTGCCTCTTTCAGTTCAGGCAGTGAGTCTGAAAAGCCAACACATCATCAATACACCAGTAGAATCCTTAACCTGCTAGCATAGAGTATAAACATGATCAGCACTCAAATAAACATACAGCCTAGAATGGAACAATCAGAATTACAACCATACAGGGACAGATAAATCAGTTCAGCTTAACTTCTTCTGGTTTCTCAAATTCAGCATAGAAACCCATGCAAATTTTCTCCTACCATGCAGATTCTGTATGCAAGGTTTTCTTAACATAATGCGTTTTGCTAAGTTATGTTCGCCAATATGCATTTTGTATTATATTTTCCTCCATATAAACACTGTCCCTGTATTTATGCATATATCTGCACGTATGTTTTGACTAGAGAACGGCATCACAAAATACAGAAAAGCAGAGAAGAATAGCTATGCTTTCAGTTCACACAATTAGTTCATGCATTTGGTTCCCAAACGTGGATGATTGTCCATCTCTACAAACCACAGATGTGGAAGGTTCACACAACCATGTTTCTGACCAGCAAAACTTTTCATAAATCTGGGTTTGTCAAAATAGGGTTTAATTCTTAAATGCAGAGCTTTTATATTCAGAATTTTGCAAAATGTTTACTGGAGTGTGGCTATTTTCTTTAGCCTAAACCAATTTCGAAACCATTTCCTCCTTATATTGAATCCAAAGGTATTCATCACAGATTAACTGCCATGAAAGTTGAACGGGGAATTTAAATCATTTGATCATTATGGCATGGATCAAACATTTCCAGTCTCACTTGAGGAGGCAAAACTGTTATGGGTGATTACTGTAATGTATGTGTAGTGTTGAACACATAGTAATAATCCATGGTGAACCATGATTCTAAAACCAACATGTTTAACTATGTAATTTCACCTCCCCCCCTCTCTCTGTCATCCTAATCCATCATTAAAATTCTGGGATGATACATTTTGAAAGACACAGTCCAGGAGCAAATAATAGAGAGATATTAACAGAGAAGCTGCAGGGCAGAAAGTTGGATTTAGCTGCCCATTTCAGTTAAAGAGTTTAAGTATATCAAATTGTCATTCATGGGAGAAAGATTTGGGCAGTGCTAACAGACAATTTTGAGATGTCATCCTGTGAACACTTCTCTGGAACTGCCTAAAGTCTTATGCAACATTTTAGGCTGCAAGCATGTGATTCTTTCCACAAGAAAACATAATGAGATATTAAAAGACGATATTCATGAGGCCAATATCACATTCACATATATACTTGCATAAAAGTCCAGAATCCTAAAGCTAGTTTTAAATACTTAACATTAATTAGATGCCAATTGACTTTTAGGTATAGGCCACTGTACTAATTGCTTGGACATGGACATGGTTCATGCCACATATACATTTTTTCTGTCGCTTGTATATTTTGTGTTTATTAACCAGGATAATAACTGCCTCCTACTTTCATAATCAGGAGTGATAAAGAACCATTTCAGCTAGATGCATTGAAAAGGTGGAGAATCATTTTAAAGATTAGAGATACTCGGTGCCTCTGTCTCTTGGCAAACCAGACATATTTTATCATACTATCTTGAGTATGTGACCTCCATTGGGGCCCTTTAAATATGACTCCAGTGGCACAGGGGATGCCTATTCATCTTATTCCTGTTCACAACTGCAACACTGGGAAGCCTGGGACCATGGAGGTAGAGCCAATTACACAAGTTGTCAAGTGTTGGATGGGAAGAAAAGCATGTCTGGCCAACTTCCAAACACTGCAAGAACCATGTGGGGATAAAATGTTTTATTGATGGTATCTGTTGCCAAATCGATTAGCTAAGATGTTTCCAAATATGTCAAATGGATGTTGGAAATGTAAACATAAATTGGGTACTTTTTACCATATGTGGTGGACTTGCGACAATGTGAAAAAGTATTGGATTAAAATACATAAATGGCTCGAGGAAATGTTACAAAAATCCTTAGCTTTTAAACCTCAAGTTTTTTTATTAGGCATTATAGCGGAAGACATTAGTAAACAAGAAATGTATTTGATGTTACATGTAATCACCGCGGCGAGAATTGCATTCGCTCAACACTGGAAAAGTGAGGAATTACCCACCGATGAACTGATTCTAAAATAGATTCTGGACTGTGCAGAAATGTACAGATTGACTTTATCACTGAAGGAGAAAGAAGATAGTGATTTCTATCAAACTTGGGACTTTTTGTTATTGGCTGGAGAAACAGGACTTGGCTTAGATTTAAATATGTTTTTAAGTTATCATAAATGGATTTGAATATGACTATGGAATGTTAAAAAATATGAGTAGGGGGCTGACCCAGTACGTCTGATGTATTTGATGACTGATGTCTTTAGTGTTCGTTTAAAATCTTAATAAAAAATTATTTTAAAAAAGAACCATGTGAGGGAAAGCCATGCAGAAGCAATTAATGTGCTACTGTGGTAATATATGGAAGACCAATTACACTGACTTGACTGGGAAGGAAAATAAGTCCCAAACATCCTTATGGTTTGGGGAATGGTAAAGAAATCCATAGAGAAACTCAGGCAATATAATACTTGCCACAGGTGTAATGTACCCTGGGCTGTGATGGTCCAAGTTACACCTTATACTACTGGCAGATCAGAACAGGGTTGGTGCTGTTCAGGTGTTGCAGACTACAAGTCCCATAAACCCCATTAACCCTGATGACCAGCTATGTTGCTTGAGACTGGTGAGATGTACACTCCAAAACACCTGGGTTGTCTATATATATAAGGTTGTCTACTCCTGGATTAGAAGAATACTCCTTACAAGTGGCTCTGGGACTGCTGATGTTGGGTCGGTGTAGTACACAAACCCTGAATGCAATATGTAACATTGAAATATTCACTTTGGTCAAAGGTCATAACCAAAGTGATTTAAAGTCCATCCATCATAGGGCCAAAAATGTAAATTTAAAAATTAAAAAGCTGAGTGCGCTGGAGCTAAAGATGGTATGAGAGACCCCCATTAGGTACAGAACCCAACATGTTCCCATAACACTGTGCTATCCATCTAGAACATGAACTATGTGTCCTAAATGTTCTTCTCTGTGGCATATTGTTGGTTTCCCAAGGAAGAACAGGTGAAATATGTGGGGACTCATGATGAAAACGCCTTGGAGATCAGAAGAGGAACAGCATTTTGTGAACAAGGAATGGCTTTG